TAGAATACCACCTAAATTAAAAAAAAAAAAAGCAAAAATTACATCGATCACTATTAAATAATGTTGAACTCAATTAATTTGAAATATTACGAACCTTTGATGACTTTTTCAACTTCATGAGTGGAACAACAACAGAGACCTGATCTGCGAGTATAATGTCGAAAGTAGGATCCATGAACAACACACAAAGTGCAACAAAAATACACCGAAGATATGCACACACTGCGTGTAGACGATAGAAAACATGCCGTGGTAGGAAGGCACCATAGACTGTAACTGGAAAGATACCTGCACGGTGTTCGTATTAGAAGGATCTACATTGACTAAAAAGGCAAAAGCAGCAAAAGAAAAAAAATGACAAGAAACCAAAATTTGTAGCGAAAAATAAAGAGAACCCCATACCAGAAACAGTCTCCTCAAAACAGCGTGTTTTGTCATGGTGTGATGTGAAGACATGAACGTGATGTCCACGAGTTGCAAGTTCTACAGCAGCATCAACAATTAATCTCTCTGCTCCACCTGAGTATCATGGTACATTTGGCAAGGTGCTTACAGTAACTAATGTTTTTATGTAGGGAGGTGAAAGACAAATTAGATGGTATCAGATAAAGTCATATGTGAACTATTAAGCTCAGCGAGATTTAGAAATTAACGAGACAGTAAATTCTCGTACGTATATATAATCAACCACTGATCTTCATATGAAAAAATGCCATTATGGATCATTGGGACGTATAAAGGTATAAAAAAAGGAAAGGACATCAATACTAATCTGAACAGATATAGCATCTGGACTGAAGCATTATCTCTTTGCTAGCTAAATTCCTACAGATGTGTACAATATCCGGAGAAAAAATGGACCCTGTAAAATTCACTTATCGTACTAGACATCAGACAGTGTTTAGGCTTTTAATCTTCACTTGTTCACAATGTCGTAACAGTTCATAAAGAGGAAGCTCTTAAAAATTCCTACACAGATAAAAAAAGGGAAAAAAAAAATTATAACCCGTACAGTTAATTCTATATATTGCCTAAAAAATTGAGCTCCCAGCCAGCAGCCTTTGATCAGATGTTACTCAATTCTCATCTTCAGCATCTCAATCACTCCCATGATATGATAAAAAATTAAACTTTAACAGTCTATTTTTGTACAATTTGACCATTATGATCCTAAATTTAAATCCGAAAGGAAATATTTTTCCAATGACACCAAAACCCAGAAACCCAAATCAAATATTTCATTTAGAAAAAAAAAAGAGCGTCAAGATTGCTTTTCAAAATCTCAACGGCACGAAACAACTGAAGCAATTAAAAGATGAATTAAGGAAGCAAAATAAATTAGAAAAACACAAATTTTGGATAATAGAAAAACAAATACCGATTCCGAGATCCGGGTGAATTATTGCGATGTTCAACTTTGAGCTTTCTTTTTTCTCCATGGATGCTATTTCCTTGAGCTTTTGAAGAAAAAAACTTAATCTCTACTTCAGAGAAAATAAAACCCACTTTTCAATTTTGTAAGAGTTAATTTCAACAATAGTAACTGAAGTTTGGAAGAAACTTCAAATTGGTCAGTAAAATATTTTTTTGTTACTCTATTAGTTACTATAGTAGTATAGTTTATATCGATTTACAAATGATAATCCGACCTATCGTCGTCAAGTGCCTTAGTCGATTAAAGAGACAAGGCTGAAACCATTTGTACAGAAAAACGGCCACGGAATTTCACTAGAAATCTCACATGAAAGTGGGTCTCATTATGAATAAAATATTGCAAAAAATGCAGACCCCACCTGTGCTGTGTATGGTCTGGTAGAATTTTGTGTACACAGTATTCTATGCACACAGAAAGGTTCAAGAGACAATCATTAGTGCATGTATGTCAAGGCAAGTGAGATGGAGTAAAAGGAAACATGGTCTTGCTCCAAACCCAATTTAAATCATGATTAAAAAATAAAAAAAAATATCCTAAAAACAACTAAGTCAATCATATTTAACATATTAAAAGAATGTACAAGTTTTCCACTATCAAGGAGATGGATTAAAATATTGTGTAGAAATGACATACATGAGAGGAAGACTAGAAAGGCTAGAAAGAATTTTTGAGGCCCTACTGACTTAACAACATAATCAATATCGATCAGCGTATTCACAATAACTAAAACATTTAAATGATTCTAAAACCTTAATGTTGTGCTGAATCATGTCAATGTTCACCAAATTTTAATCGACCCAAATCACTTGGGATAAAAAAACTCAAAATAATTCCAAACTTGACTCTAGGATTAGTCTTCCTATAA